GTGAAAGAGCTTAAGTTCAGCAACGCTCAGGATAAAATTTTCAGTATCTTTTGAAAGAGTGGAGAAATTAGTGCAAACAAAAATATACCTTATTTATAATTTCTTGGTTGCTCAGATCCTTTGGTGCCTCTGGAATTGTCACAAGAAACTTAGAGACATCCACAACCTCAAAATGAGTTGGAAGTCGTCCAATGGATGGTACGAATGTGAAGGTCAGTGGTTTGGTTCCAGATTCTTGAGAAGTGACCTATAAAACACATAATTAGTTCAACTTTTTTATCCAAATAAAGTTTATTTTTGTCAGAGTAGAAATAACATTAATTAATTAAACTATGCAACTTACAAGCCTCTTATTAATTATACTGGTCATTGTTATTTTTATGGAGTCATTTATAAAGGTCTTCTTTAACAGACAGAACAGTGCTTTGATTATACACTTCAACATTTATATACTCTAGTGGTGTGGCACAGCAGAAAGGAGAAAATTTGTTTAATAATTTGTTATTCTTTCTATTTTTCATACCAGAATTAGAAAACCATATTCAGTTGATTTCAAGGCTGGATTTGTCTTTGTTTAACTCTACTTTAGTAGAACAACAATGTAATTGCACCACTGTATCTGGACATATTATAGTCCCTAGAGTATTTGCTTAACAACGTAAAACAAACTGGAAAAACCTTCACTCTGCAAAAAGAAAGCAAAACATGTTTACATTTTCTAATGCAAATACAGCTAATTCTGAACAACATCTGGGATGAATTCTGATTCAAGGAAAGAATCTTCTCCTGTTTTCTTTGGGTTATTCGGCCACATACACCAACTAACTGTGTGACTGCCTGCTTGTTTCTCCCACTCAACCTGCATTCTTGATAGGACTGTGTGAGTAGTGCCTGAATGGACTGAAAAGAGGCTACAAGAAGGTGGTTTCACCTAAATATTCAGTTTCATCGAAGCGCTCTCCCAGAATTTCCATCTCCTTCACAGGAGATACTGGACAGGAAGAAGTCCACACTGTGGTAAAACTCTCAGTTGCTTTACCAGATATCAAGGAGAAGATTTGCAAAGGACTTGGCAAGGTGAATAAAAGGAACCACATCCCAAATCACTGAACCTAACATGTGGACTTTCCTACTATTTGTTAGCATAAAAATCCTTCCTTCTCGTTCAAAACTGTGGGATAACAGCCTAGGTTACCATAAGACAGGAATCCATGCTAATTTAGTGTGATTCAGAAGAAAGGTTAAGTTGTTTGTGACTATGAGATCCTTGTGCTGTCTCTGGGGGTGGAGACCCACTGACCTGGCCTGCCAAAAAGCTGAAGGAAAGACACTTGTGAAGGGTGGTCCTGTTCTGGCTAAACCAACAAGAGCAAAAAGCTCTAACATAAATCTTAAAGGCCATAGTGTCCAAGTGAAGACCTTTGCCTAATTAATGGCTAAATTAATATTAAAGTTTACTCCCCTAAGAATGATAACGAGTTTAAAGGAGTACATGCTAAATATACATGACCATGTTACTCAACTCACTACCGAAACCATGCTAAATGTCACCTAGAAGGCAGGGACAGACAGGATAAGGATATAAAAAATCACGAGGGGAATACCTCACTGACTGCTGCTAACGTGACAAAAACTATGGAATGTATAGATTTCCCCTTGTTTTATCATTTGATTTAAAGCTCACGGTAGTTAATCGTGTTTTCAATGAACTCTAAATGCAGAGCCTTGAACTGTATTGAATCATGCAGAAAAACAAGACTATTGCTTTGGCTCTGCTTTTTGGCTTGTTTAAAATGAAACAAATTGGAGAGCTATGGCTCTCATTATGCTTCTTTGTAATTTGCATCCATAAGTAAATAGCAATTACAGAACACTGTGGAATTACAGAATACATTCACATGACTCGATCTTTTCATGGCTAGAATATTAAAAAAGATAGATGGAGATTGCCTTTTTTTTTTTTTTTAAATCTAAGCAAACATTAGTTTCTTGCACTGACAGTTGTCTCTTGGAGGGCTTGGGCAAAACAGAGGTAGGTTATTTACACAAACACTGCCAAGTCCTCTTTTTTCTACAATTTAGGAGAACTCTGCTCTCTCAGACAAACCCAGAATTAATTTCCATGTGTCCACCTCTAATTCTGAAAGAATAAAATGTTTCAGTGTTTGAAAGTGAAAAATCTGAATAAATGGCAGCCACCTCAGTTCTGAAATTGGGCCTTTATGTTCACAAACTCACATGAGCAGGTTACATTACACTGCAGGCTTGCAGTGCAGTTAGAGGTGTGCTCTTCAAGGACAAGGTTGCCTCCTACTTCCCCTGGCTCCCACTTCACACAGGTGGCCAAGAACCAGAACACACAATGCATGGCCTGAATTAGTAGTAAAATGGTGGCTGCTAACTGCTCCACCACTCCAGGAGCTCTGGATGTTTAGAAATAACACAGATCCACCTTCCTCTCAGCACCCAAGGTCCCCAGATCTGATCATTGCTTTTCATAAAGCAGCAACACAATCTTTAATATCCATAGCCAGCACAATAAACACTTAGCCCTTGCTCCTGATACAAGTCAGCAGAGTACCATCAGTACTCAAGGATGTCCTCACTAGTGAGCAGCCTCCAGTCCCTACAATGCAGCCAGGGATGGAGCCTCCACCCAAACACCTGCTGTACCCAGGAGTGCTCTTCAAGAAGCAGGATTACCTGCACACAGAGAGAAGCATCCATCACATTAGCATTAGGGATTTCTGTACAGCTGACACCATCCATTACAGTTTTACACAGCACCCAGATCTCCACTGAAATCAGCTGGAGATGGTTTTTGCTTTCCTGCAGATCTGTAGCTGTGCTTTCATCTTCTGTCTCCAATCAGGAAATGCAGCTACTGACTCTGGCTACCTTGGTCATCTTTACTAATATTTTCCCCTTCTAACTCACCCTTTTGTCATGCTTGTTTGACACTTGATAGCAGCTGTTCTGTATCAGTGGGTATTCTTGTGTCAGAGCACAAAATATTCCTTATAAAAGAAGGAAGAGAGATAAAGTATGCAAATAGCAGGCCCACACAAAGAGATCTATAGAAAAATCCAATCAAATGTGGTAGCGTTGCTAAAACCCCAGTTCTCTGTCTGCATTTTTATAACAATGAAATACAAACTAAAAGTTTGTACCCAGTCAAGAGGAGTTCTGAGGCTCCAGACCATTGCACAGTAATGGGGAGATCTTGCCAACACCTACTTCTGCACTATGTCTTACCCTGCACTTCCAATTTTATCGCTTTGGTGGAAAAAATAAAGGATACATGAAGAAAACCTTGCTGTATTTAGCCTAAACACATTGTAGAAATGACTATCAAAACTGCTCGCACGCTAAAATTAAGATTGGAAAACACATGTAAAGATGTGCAATCTAGAACTTTTTTTTCAGGTGGAAGATGACATTAAAGCATGGTATTTATATACTCCTAATGTATTTTATTTTTCCTGGAGTTCAGAAAGTATAAACAAGCAAACAGAATTACTGCATTTTATAAAGTTTTAAGTTGTCAGATACTACATGAGGCAGGGTGGAGGAACGCACTCCACTTAATTCACTCGTAGTGAGTGGGAAACAAACTTCTAGCAGGTAAAGCTGGTCATGAAGTCTAGGATGCATCACAGAAACCTGGAGAATGAACAAATATTACAAGAGTGTTCAGAAAATACAAATGTTTCCAATGGGGAAAACAAAAAAAAGAAAACACTCGTTTAAAAATATCTTTTAAGTTGTTACTTTCATTTCACTGTAGGAGAAGATCTAAGGAACCTGAAAGGGGACAAGTCCATGGTACCTGATGAGGTGCATCCACAGGTCCTTGAGGGAAATGACAGATGAAGTGATTAAACCACTATCCATCATATTTGAGAAGTCATGACAGTCCAATGACATTTCCATTGACTGGAAAAGGGGAAAATTAACCCCCATTTTTAAAATGGAAAGATGAAAGACCTGGAGAACCGTAGGCCAGTCAGTCTCACCTCTGCTTGGCAAGATCACGGAGTGGATCCTTCTGGAAACTAAGCTAGGGCACATGGAAAATAAGGAGGTAAGTAGTGCCAGCCAATACGGCTTCATTAAATGTAAATCATGCCTGACAAATCTGGTGGCCTCCTAAAACAGAATTACAACATTGGTGGATGAGGGAAGAGCGCCTGACAGCATAAACCTGGACTTGTGCAAAGCATTTAACACTGTCCCACATGATGTCCTTGCCTCTAAATTGGAAAGACGTGGGTCTGACAGATAGACCACTGGGTGGGTAAGGAATGGGCTGGATGGTTGCATTCAACAGCTCAATGTCTGAGCAGACACCAGTAATGGCTAGTGTTCCTTGGGGGTCAATAGAGGGACCAATGGTGTTTAACGTTGTTGGAGATGTGGATAGTGGGATTGAGTGCACCAGGGGCAGGTTTGCAGGTGACATCAAGGTGAGTGGTGCGGCTGACATGCTGGAGGGAAGGGAGGCCATCCAGAGGGACCTGGACAGGCTTGCAAGCTAGACCCATACAAACCTCTTGAAGTTCAACATGGCCAAGTGCAAGGTCCTGCACCTGGGTGGAGGCAATCTGAAGCACAAATACAGGCTGATGACTGAATTGAAAGCAGCCCTGAGGAGAAGACCTTGGGGGTGTTGTTTGACAAGAAGCACAACATGACCCAACAATATGCATCAAAAGAAGTGTGGCCAGCAGGTTGAGAGAGGTAATTCTACTACTCTACTCCACTCTGGTGAAATCCCCCCTGGAGTACTGCAGTCAGCTCACAGGTTCCCAACATACAAAGGACATGCATCTGTTGGAGCAGGTCCAGAGGAGAGCCCTGATTATATCAAAGGGCTGGAACATCTCTCCTACAAGGACAGGCTAAAAGAGTTGGGGTTGTTCATCCTGGGGAAGAGAAAGCTTCAGGGAGACCTCATAGCAGCCTTCTAGTATCTGAAGAGAGCCTACGAGAAAGCTGGAGAGGGACCTTTTACAGGGCCAAATAGTGATAGGATGAGGGGTAATGATTTCAAACTGGAAGAGGGTAGATTTATATTAGAAATTAGGATGAAGTTTTTTACTGTGAGGGTGGTGAGACACTGGAACAGGTCTCCCAGAGAGGCTGAGGCTGTGTCGTCCCTGGAAGTGCTCAAGACCAGATTGGATGGGGCTTTGAGCAACCTTGTCTAGTGGAATGTGTCCCTGTCTATATCAGGGGGGCTGGAACTATAATAATCTTTACGGTCCCTTCCAACCCAAAACATTCTATGATTTTACAGATTTAAAATAAATAAGTAAAAATACTTTGAAATTTTAAAATTTAAATTTTAATTGGAAAATTTGAAGCAGAAGGAAAAACATTACTTTTTTTTTTTAATGTACAGAAAGGATTTTTGCACCTTTTTTCACATAAGCAACTAATTTACTACATCTCTCTGGGTGACAGTCCTAGTTTTGAAGATCAGAAAGAAATTAACAAGGTAGACTTTCAGCATTTAATTGCATCTATTAAAAGCCACTCTGACATGCAGAGATAAATAGCAAAATAACTTAAACATTCAAATATATATAAGTATAAATATTTATTTCAGATTATCATCTTTTCTCTGAATCAGATAGTAACAGCAGAAGAAATTCAATGCCATACATTCCCTGCTGCTGTAACTCATTTGACTCAATAGAATTATGGTGGCAGAAAAGTACCATATGCGACAACTGTTCAAGTTAATTAATGCTAATGAATTCTGGTTTATATTATATAATCAGCTTTATGCACAATGAAATAATTTATTGTTTTTAATTGTATCCTTTCATATTACTTAATTCTTTGAAGAATTTAATTATAGAGTTTAATATAAATAACCCTTGAATATCTATTGGGGGCTATAGGCTGCTGCATAATACGTTGCCAAATAGCTTCAAAATGAGAAACCTATTCTAGATGGCTTCCATGACTTCCTATGTCATCAATTTACAAACAGGTTTGTTGCATAATTAATACCATCAATTTACAACTGCCCTGGGGATGGTAACTTAAATTAAATTAATTATTGTTTTCATTACCACAGCTTTTACAGACCTTATTTGTAGAGAACATTTTTATTGTATTGGTTACCTTAAGAAGACAAATGAACGCTTCCATTTAATCTCTCACATGCTCTATATGCATTCAGCATACTGCCTATTTTGTAATTTAAATTGAGGTCCCATTGTCACTGATTGCTTCCCAGGATTTCCTTCTGGAATACAGATTGCTGAAGTGAAATTGAATATGCTGGTTCATATTACCACTTCTTCCACTGATTTGTTAATGTAAGTCATTTCATTAATAAAACGATACCCTGAGAAAACCTTGCTTTTGAAACATCAAACGCTTCCTTTTGAGGCTGTTTATTTATGTGTGCAAAGGACAGAAAAGGAAATCTATGCATAAATAATAGCAAAATAACCAACGACACAGAAACATGTTCACTGAAGTGCTGTTTTGGCCACAGCACAAATTCACATGCCCACAATTCCTCTGTGATAAATATAGCTCCAACATACGGAGAGAGCACAGCTAACACGGCTCGCCCAGCCGAGGGTGAAAACACAGCCCAGGTTGTGTAACCTCTCTTTAAACTCCTCTTCTCTGTTCAGACTAGACAAATAGATATTTGTCTTCTTCATACAGAGAAAAAGGCCAGCCTACTACAGATGAAATTATCAGTTAATGAGATGTAAGAATCTTCAGGATATCTTCATATCCTGATTTATTATAGCTATCACAGTAAAATAATACAGATTAGCTGATTATTGTGGAACTCTGGTTTATCTAAAATCATTTGCAAACAACCACAGGTGATCATCTGAATGCAAACTTCATATCTATCAAACTTCAGAGGGGAAAAAGAAATCCACTCCAAAAGGCCAGGATGAAATTACAGCCCAGATGAAGTTTGTGCCAAAATTCCCACCGACAGCTGTGGGCCAGGAACTTCCCCAAGCCCTATGATGTGCCCATTGTATGGGCACATTTGCCTTCAGCAAATCACTTTCTTTCAATACAGAAGCACACACTAAAACTCACACATACAGACAAATATCTTTTGGAAATTAATGTGTGTAAAGTACTACAAAGAATAAGTGAATAATAGTATAAAATTGTAGTCTATTATTTAAAATGCAAGAGCTCATTCAGCTGAAGTGTTTCTTTTCAACAATGATTTTAATTAGCTTTTCAGCCCAGCGGACTTTATACAACTATAATTGCCCTTTCATTCTAGTCTACACATATGCAGCTAAGCATGATGAAAAGTAAGTAAAGATAACCTTTAATTTCTTCTTTTGTAAAGGGGGAGTAAAATACATTGCCGGTTATGTTTAGCTGATTTAATTAAATGCAGCTTGACTAAATAGTCATAAAACATTAACCCATAAGGTGACCTGGGTCTCTAAATCATATTTTAGGATCACTGATACCCTTAATGTCCTTATTTACTCCAGACTCCTAAAACTCCTAGGAAGCAACATCTTCCAAGCTAAAAAATCTCTATTGCAACATCCTAAGCTTCTCTAATCTATCACCCATGCACAAACTCCCAGCTAGTCATTCCCACACTCAGACTGCCTCCAGCTACTCCCTCAGCAGGTAGTCACCATTTTCTTCTGTCTGACCTGCAGCCATTTTACTGTCATTTTACAACCAGAAAGGACCTAGAAATATTGGTGCTGATATTACACGGGGTTTTTTTGTAGTATGGCCAGGCT